ACATTGTTCTGTTTGTGCCGGGGCACCGGATCTTTGGGGTGAACCAGCCTTTGCCATAATGTGTTTTGGGGTTAGAAAGCCACATGGGGGCGGGGCTTAAAAGCCTGAATTTTGCCTGAAACTCTCAGACTGAAGAAGTCTCTTGGAGGAGAGACGAAACGTTTCATTAGAGAAGAACCCGTCCAGAAGACATATACAATTTTTTTCCCATAAAGATAAAAAAATTGTGAATATCTCAAAATAAACAAAACAGTGAGTAGAACAAATGCTAAAACTAAAATCAGCTAAACATAATTTAAAATTAGCATAACTAGCTAAAAGCTAAAAGTGGCAAAAYATTAGATAAAACTAAAATCAGCACAAAAACTAATTTGCATAACTTTAGATTCATGCTAAAGGGAAAAGAAAGGTTAAAATTTTACAAAATTAGCAAAAAAAAGTTGATGAAAGCTAAAAACATTAAATAAAAACTAAAATCAGCAAAAAATATTTTATGTATGTATTATTTGCATGTAGTTCAATAAAGTGAGAATGGTAATTAAAAACTCAAAATAAGCCAGCAGAAAGGTAGCTAAAAGCTACAGTAGCACATTTAAATTTATGAATGCTGAAGCTGTTTGATTGAACTTTATTACCAGGAAAAAAAGTGACTCAGAATAAATGAATAAATAAATCAGGGATTTGTGAGCTTCAGCTTTTATTGTGAAAACAACAACAACAACAAAATTTGTAAATTCAGTTTTCACATGACAACAATGAAGCACAAAAACGGTCCAAAATAAAAAATAAAACATTTAGTGGTAGCTCGTTTCTCTCTTTGGTAAAGATGCTTTTTGCAACAGAAACACTTTTTAGCTCTGCAACAAACAGAGCTCCTTTCAAATAAAAGCAGTGAAGTGATAAAGTGTTAAACTGAAGTCTAAATAAGAAAAGGAACAAACATGAGAGTAAATGGGGTGTGTGTTGATGCTGATAGGGTTCTAGTTTCCCTCTGGATTCATAACCCAGAGATTTAAAAAAGTCTTTTTTTTTTTAATTAAAAGCTGAAAGAAGAAAAAACCTCATGATTCTGATCCTTTTCCCCACATGAAGCAGTCGACTTCATTTGATGGATTTTATCATCACTTTCTTTTCTCTTTATGCTGCCAGGCTTTGTAAGAGACTAAAAAATAAAACTCAAAGATGCAACTTAAACATTCAWACTTACATTAAAAAATATTTAAATGTGGTTTTAATACAAGTGGTTTAACAGGTTTTTTTTCTTTTCTTTTTAAAGTGTCACAAAGTTTTCATCTTTGGCTAAAACCTTTATTTAATAAAATGTTTTTTAGACATTTCTTCGTGCTGCAAAGTGATGTGTTTATATTTATTCTGTAACTATACCACCTCCACGTAATTGGCCGGGTAAAGCCCCTCCCACCCGTCGTCCTTCTTCCCTCGACACCAGCCCTGATCATCCTCATCCTCGATCTTCAGGAACTCCTCACCTGCAGGACACAACTCAGGTATGAAAGCAAAGTTTTCTCAGGTGTTTGCRTTTAACGTCTGTTGTAGCCATTTTGTGTGTTTTTAAGGGTCTGGCGGCCATCTTGAATCAGTCTGACTCCAGATGTACGGTGATTGTTTCTGCAAGTTTAAAAGACATTTATGATCGTGTCCAGGTGAGTTTACCTGCTTTAAAGGAAAGCTCATCCGTCTCTTGGCCGACATAGTCGTACAGAGCTCTGACTCGGACTCCTCCAATCACCACGCTGAGCAGAAACAGGATGAAAGAAAGAAAAACAAACGTGAAAAACATGGAGACGGAAAACAAAAACCTGCAGCACGGACCTGCTCACCTTTTCTCCAACGGTTCTTTTTTCTCTTCCTTTTTCTTCCCTTTTTTACTTTTCTTCTCAGGTGTCCACTCCTTGGAAAGATTTGAAGAGAATTATGTCAAAGACCAGAATTATAAAGTTTAACTTGAAGTAAACAATAAAAAGCATAGAATAGTTCCTGGAAAGTGCTTGGTATGTGCCGTACATTGAAGTAAAAATTAGATTTAWATGTTTGTTGGAGATCACTCTGATCTACTACCTTCCCAAATTTGAGTCAAATGCATCTAAACATGGCTGAGTTCTGGACAATTTTGCATTTTAGCTACAGCAGCCATCTTGGATTTTTTTTTTTTTGACTTGATGCTGCGTTCACACCGAACACGATTTCAGCTTCAAAATCGCAGCCAACGCTGAAGTTGGTCGCTTGTGCACTTTGAGGTCAGACGCAGGTCAGCTCTTGAAGCGCTGCACGGCAAGAGCCTCCCCGCCCCTCCCTCCTCTGTCGGGCTCTGTTTAATGTCGGACCAGGAAGTGGCTTTGCTTTATTTACAGAGAGCAAGAGCATGTCAYGTTCATCAGATAATTAATTCATAATTAATTCACCAGATAATTCAGAAACATTCTGAGTTTCATCACCCAGGAGCTGCAGGAGAGGCTCACAGCTCGCTTTCAGGACTATTTTTGTCCCGAGTCCAGTCTGATGAGTCGCTGCCACACATTGGTGCTGATATCTCCTGTCAGGACTCTGACTGCAGGCACTCGATTTCAGCTAAAGAGCTCCTCTCCGTCTGTTTCAGGTTAGTGGACATCATTCAGTAAACTGTCCCGTCAGGAAATATGTCGCTACGTCACACAGTGGAGTCTCTCTGATTGGTTGACGCGGCGCGTCGAGCTGCAAAAGTTCAGATTTTCTAACTTCAGCGATTTGCGCCTCAGCGCGTCGAACGCTCAAATCGTTCAAATCGCGCTGCTCTAATCACGCTTGTGGCGCCGCAGCACTTCCCGACGCTGATTGAAGCGCGTCCAYCATAGACTTTGCATGTAAACCTGAGGCTCCTGATGCTGAAATCGCGTTTGGTGTGTACGCACCATCAGTATGTGATGGAGATCTTGCTTAGCTACTGCCGCACCAAATTTGAGTTAAAATTTTTTTAAACTGTTTCAAATTAGCACTGGTGGCCATTTTGAATTTATATTTAGCATTTAGCGTTTGTCAAAGCTTGTTCTTAGCTACTATTACGCCAGTTTTCAGCTTTGTAAGTCTTAAAATGCTGAAAAAGAGCTAATTAGCATTAGCAGTTAGCTTAAACTTGTGAATAGCATTCAGAATGTTTTGAGTTAGCTCTCAGCTACCACCACACTAAATTTCAGTTTTGTATGTCCTAAAACTGCTGAGCAATCTGCCATGTTGAATTACAAAAAGCCCCTTCTTCGTTTTGTGACTCGAGGCTATTCTGCMCAGTAACAGCCTCAGCCAATCAGAAGGCCCGATTGTGGTGTCCTTACAGTGAGGGCAGAGCATAAAGTTTGGTTCAAACAACCAGCCACTGTGTGAAAACTACATTTAAGGTCTATTGAAATAATTCTTGAATCATGAGCGACAGATGAGATTGAATCTTACTCATGGAAATCTTCAAATTTGTCCAAAGCTTTATCTCAGAGATATGACGAGTTTAAAATAGCTGTTGTTTTGAGTGAACTGCAAGAAGTGGTACTTCCCTGACTTCTGACACACCATTGTACAGCAAAACCAGTAATATTGGCTGAAAGAAGACAAAAAATGCCTACGTTTTGATTTATAATTTATTTGTGTATCATGAAGATTGTAGCTATGGGAGAAGTTGTCTTGACGGTAGTTTTTTGCGATTTATGTCACCATGATAACCCAAAATGCCACTAAAACTAACAGCCCACCTCCCACCGCTGAGCCTGTTGTTTTGAACATTTGTAGGGGTGCATGGCCTCTTATTTGACAAGGCAAGCCTTAAAAAGAGTCAAAAACCTGGAAGTGAGGCCAGTCGGTGGGCATGCCGGGTCCGTAGGTGTTTTTCCACCAGCGAAGGTCTTCGTGCTCGTCGATAGCCATCAGCGTGTTGTGGAGCTCCTTGCACACGGCTAACACGCTGAAAAACAAAACCAATTAATTACACCCTGTAAGCACAAATGCAGGAAATACATCTTTAGAGCACAAGAAAGCCTGGCTGCTTGTGAGCAGAAGGCAAATATGGATAGAAAAACTTTTGCACRGTACTACATACATTTTATGCGATATCTGGATAATCACACTACAAAAAAGGCTGTTTAAATATCTAACTGCTCACCATCCATTAAAAATTCTCTGAAGTGAGACCCAAACTCAAGCAGATTAGCAGATTTAAATCCCTCTTCTCTCGTGGCTCCTGTGTTTTTTTAAGTAATTAAGTTCCTGTTTCTTGAGTCAATGAGAAACACAAGTTACAGTGAGCGGAACAACTTTTAATTAACGTGTTTAAGCTGCTCGGCCGTGTTCACTGACCTCCTGATGACCGGGGGCGGGGTCAGCGGGGGGCGGGCTCACCTCTCGTTGGCGGTGACGTCCAGGTGTTTGTTGATGGACAGGAAGGCCTGTTTGAGGAACGCGATCCTCTTGCGCTCCTCGTCCTGCGCTTGGTCGAAAACGGACTCCATCTCCTCCATGTAGCGAGGAACGTAGCGGTTCACCTCCTCCAGCATCTTCTCGTAGCGAGCGCGGACCTGAGCGAAGATCCCAATCAGACAAATTATTACGACCACGTGACACACAAAAGATCTGAAACTCAAAAGTGAGATTTTCTTTTGCTAAGTTTTGTAACCTTAATTCTTTGCAGGTGTGCAGRCAGATGTTGGATGTATTGTATTGTTTTCTTGACGTATATCTCACATATCGTCAATTCTTTCTTTCACTTTTTTCCATTATATTGTAACTTTTCTTTCCTTTCCTTCTTCTTCCTTCTTGTCTATCTAAAAAAAGCCACTGATGATGAAGAAGCTAAGATACTAATATTCAGATATTCAGTACTGCTTTCTACTGAAGTGGTAAAAAAAGTGAGATTTTACTCTTTCGTGGCACTTCGTTTTAAGTTTTGAAAAGTCATATCTGCTGTCCTTCCTGAGTCTGTGTCCAAATCCAGGGGCTGCGTCCTTCGAAAGACACGGCATACCCGGTTTATGTGGTTGGTTCGTTGTCAACCGACAAGACCGTTACGTGGGCACATAGTTCAATTCTACACCACAATCCAGTAACTACAGCGGGTAAAATAAGTATTGAACACGTCACCATTTTTCTCAGTAAATATATTACTAGAGGTGCTAATGACATGAAATTTTCACCAGATGTTGGTAACAACCCAAGTGATCCATACATGGCACAGGGAAAAAGTATTGAACACATGAAGAAAGGGAGGTGTAAAAAGG